TTTTGCCTTTTAAAACATACGTATTTTAATTGTATCTCAGGGACAGAGGTTTACTTATTTCATGATAGGCTTTTGTTTTCTGGTTTATTTCTTGTACATACAAATTAAGAATTTACAATCATGGGGGTATTGTTCAAGAATAGTAGCAAATATCAGAGGTCATTTATTTTCTGGTTGTAGCTGTTCAAATATCTTTTCAATGTTTTTATTGGAACTGAGTGTTTCTCTGTGTGTACAAATCCAAGGGTGTATGCAATAGAAAGCATGTAATATATAATATATAAATGTATTAAATGCTTTTCCATATATGTGTGTGTAGATGCACACCCTAAACAATATTTCTAGAAACATTATTTTTAATGGTCAAAAGTCAGAAACTCTTCAAATGACTGTCTGCAAATGAATGAAAAGTAAGTTGTATATTCACACAATGGGTTACTATACAGCAGTGATAATTATGATCTACAACGACACGTTTAATGGTTTACACACTTATCTTTTGTGCCTACTTATGTTTGTTAAGATTCAATATAAAAATTAAATATCTCTTAAATATTTACATCGGTGGCTCTCAACTGGGGACACTTTTGCCCCACTGGGGTCTCTAGGCAGTGTCTGAAGACACCGTTGTATGTCACAGGTCCTGGCATGTAGTGTTAGAATCAGGGATGCTGCTAAACCTCACACAATGCACAGTGCAGCCCCTCACAACAAGACTTACTTTGCCCAAAATTTCAATAGTTCTCAGGCTGAGAAACCTTGATCTGAATTTAGTTGTAAGTCAAGTTGTATAAGACCATTACAATAGAAATGAAATATTTTCAGAGAAATATAAAAGTTGTTGAAGAAATCAAAATCAAGGGTTAAAATGTAAATATGAAATGAAAGACTATTTTAAAGAAGTGAAATCTCTTCAATTTTTCCTATAGATTCAATACAATGCCAAATAAAATCCTGGAATTTCATTTTGTAGATATGGACATGCAGATCGTACACTGTGTGGTGAAATGAAATGAATACTCAAAATGGTCACGAGAACCTCAAAAGAAGAAAACAAAACCAGAAGATTCACGATACCAGATATCAAAACTTATTATGAAGCTATAGTAATTTAGTAAGTGTGGTATTTGTATGAGTCTAGAAAAATAAAACTGAATAAAAGATATAGAAATAGAGTGATACATATTCATGTAATAGTGATGACATTATGGGGCACAAAAGAAAGAATGGCTTTTTTCAAAAATTATTTCAGGTAATTTGGCTTCCCAAAATGATAAAAATTAATCTTGACCCTGTCTCACAATGGACACATCACAAAATCAATTAAGGCATAAAGGAGATAAAAATAGGAATGTATGACATTTGTTTAGAATTGTTAAAGAAAACAAACAGAGGCTATTCATAAAAGTAATATATTAGACTACCATCATTACATTGTGAAATAAACATTTTGCAGCTTATTTTCATTCATCATCATGTAATAAAAAAATAATCAAATCATAATAAAGAAAAATCAACTGAGAACTTAAAATCCCCAATTCACTTCAATTCATGAGGTAAATACAACTACAATCTAAAATTATATAGAAAATAAAAACATCCTTGTGTCACAGGTAAGGTAAAATTAATTCCAGATGAATTAAAGATATATATGAAATAAAACATGAAATCATTAAAATAGTATATAAGTGAAGATTAATAAACCTTTTATGCAAGAAAAACTCCTTTAAAGCAAAATACCAAGTTGAAAAAACAAATGAGAATCAAGTGATACAATTTCCTAGAACATTTTAAAAAATCTATACATACAAAAATATATTTAAATGATGATAAATTTAAAATTGCATTTTACCTCATGGTAAAACATACATTATTGTTCTCAATCTGTAAGACTTCAGAAGAATCAGTAAAATAAAGACTATTGCCTCAAAAAAAAGAAATGAATAAAGATCCCAAAAAGCTAATTTACAAAGGTGATATACATATGAACTATCAAAGTGTTTACTCATAGTTATAAAAGGCAGTGAATATCATGACAACAATACAATCTCATTATTACTTATACAATTGGGAAATAATTATGTAGAGTAAGTATTTCTTTGGGGAAAAGTCACCCTAAAATTCTAAACAACACTAAACCTCTGTACAAAGATTGTCACTGAGAGGGTGATATTAGCCAGAGAGCACACACAGTTGAGGAACATACTGGATTCTGGCCAATTTTAAGTTCAGAGCAAGCAGTTGTGTCTGTCAGTCACTGGTGAGGGAAAAGACTAAGTCGTCCTTCTTTCCTCTTAGGTATAAACAGCAGTTCCAGACATACATGGGCCTCTCGCTGGAGGGTTTCAATAAGAAACATACGTGGTAATATGTGCATGTTTATGGAGAACCTTCCATTGGTCTCTTCCTATTGTTTTGTGCTCATCGAGGGAACCTGAAAACCCAAGAGCAATCCCATCCCCTGAGACACAAATCAAGTTGAGCTCCTACCTATCTTAGTTTCTGTTTCCTGCACCTCATCTAGTTTGGTTCCTGACTGGAAATGGCTCACTCTATCTCAACACTGTGTATGTATGTTCTTTGAGTAATGCCTTGCAGCTAGTGCCTCTAAATAGCATGGGGAGAGTGAAGAATTTGGGAAAAAACCTCAGATGAGTTTTACTACTGGAGTGATTCACATACTGTAAGATGAGTTCTTAGAAAGGTAAATTTAACTCAGTTTCCTCTGCTTTCCCTCTTTCCTTTACCTCTAACTTGCATTCAGGGCTAAGGTCCTCAGGAATTGTTAGACTTGATTCTAAAATCAGTCATCTAGATTGATAAATGGATAGATAGGTATATAGATATTATAGTAACTGGGGGGTGCAAATAGGGACTAAGTTGCTACAACATGAATATTCAAGTTAGACATTGACTCTTCTGATTGAGACTCTTATTTAAGTCTGAGGCTACTGTGGACTTCATCTGATGACAATTTTCATAATTCAGCAATAGGCACATGAAGCCATTTTAGGGATTGGTCCCTCAGTCCAGTAGAAATTTCGGAGTTACATCTGTTCCATTTTTGGAGCTCTGATATCCATATTGGTGATTACAACAATCCCATCTCTGCTATTTATTCATATATCTGAAAAATATAGCTTAAGCCACATTCCCTGGAGATAGGGTACATTTTATCTGGGCTTGGCTAAGAGCAGAGACCCTGGTTTCTCTTGCTTTGGTAAACCAGTTTCATAGCCTCTTCTCACCAAACAACTGATAAAATCCTGAACTAAGACAACATTTTGTGTTGAGTCAAAAACCTCATTTCTGCCTCAATTTCAATTGTACACAGCAAGATGACATCTCCTCCTCTTAGATTGGGTCCATTTTTTCCTGTCTCAGGCTGTAAGTGTTAAGTAAGAAACACTGACTTGATGGAATTGTCTTCTTTTATGAGAACCTTTCGTGGGATTATGAGCATGAGGAATAGGGGAAGGTGGTGGGGAAAAGACGATCTCTAACAAACTTAATGCTAAAAAATGTTTAAACATCTATGATAGATCAGTGTATGATGGATAACTGGCCTGCCCTACTCAGTAGATCGTGGTTGGGGGGGCACATATGAACATCACGTTCCTAGAGCCTCAGAGGGGATGGTAAAATGTAAGTTAAACAGTGGACCGGTCATGTATGATGCTTGGTGTCTTCTGAATCATTGAGGAGGTTATAGGGTGTCTCACTGTGAAGTTTTACTGAGATTCTTGCCCTGAGAGATCAGAGAGAAGCCCTTTAAAAGCAGGCAGTGGTGGGGGCACCATTAACAGTACCAGGGATGAAACATTCCAAACATATGTAGCTTTTCAATTGAGATGAAGTCTCTGGAAACACTAAGGGATGGATGTATTCTCTTTCTCTCCAACATCACACATGACGATTCTGTAATACTGCTAAAAGGCACAATATTGTATGATTCACTGACATTTATTGAGTAGTTATCACATGCCAGGCACTGTACTAAGTGCTTGAAATGTTTCATCTCATTTAATGCTTGACAAATTCTCAATGAAATAGATGATGTTAGTAATGCCAGGTAACATATGAGGAAATTAGACAATGTTTAGGTGTAGTGTGCAGTTCTGAAATATTCATTGCTACCAATAGTTAAATATTTGTTTTTTAAAAAATATTTCCTATGAACCCTGCGGCAAAAATAAAACATGGTAAGTAGAATTCCAAGTAGTCTCTAAGATTCCTGCCCACTACTATACACTCTCTATTTAATAATCTCCCTTCCAATGTGAGTGGGACCTGTAAATAGTATGGGGATATCAGCCCCTTGCTTACATTATTACATAATACTTGGTCCGAGAAAACTGGAGAGAGTTTCTCCTGCTGGCTTTGGAGAAGTGAGCTGTCCCGTTGTGAGAAGTCCTGGTGGTTAGGATCCTAGACACCAGAGTTGCGACAAAAAGCTGAGGGTGGTATGTCTTGCCAAAAACCAGAAAGAAACCTGGAATCTCAGTCCTAAAGCTGCAAAGAACTGAATCCCACCAACAAACTCAGTCAGCCTGGTAGAGGATCCTGAGCCTCAGATGAGATCGCAGCCCCAGTTGACACCTGGATTAAAACCTGGTGAGACCTTGAGCAGAGGACCCAGCTGACATGACTCACAGAAAGGGTGAGATAATAAATTTGCATGTTTTATGCCACTAACTTGGTGGTAATTTAAAATATACCAATAGAAATCCAATACAAAGTGTTTCTCCCACTTTCTTCTGCATATATTTCTGTGTATCACTATTTGTGTGTGTGTTCTCGTACACACAAGAGAAAGAGCGTGATAGAGTATGAGAGTTTCTGAGTCATCATTATCAGAGCAGCTTTGTAATGAGCAAAGTTCAAATTAACTCTAGAATTATTCGGTTGTCATAGAGAATGTATTCTCAGTACCGAATTAAATGCTGAATTCTGGGTGCTCACTATATGCCCACAGGGAGAGAGACCAAGGGCAAGAAGAAATGTCAAACGTGAGCCTTGTGACGATGTTCATCCTCACGGGCCTTCCCCATGCCCCAGCGCTGGACACTCCCCTCTTTGGAATCTTCCTGGTGATTTATGTGCTCACTGTGCTGGGGAACCTCCTCATCCTGCTGGTGATCAGGCTGGATTCTCACCTCCACACCCCCATGTACTACTTCCTCACCAACCTGTCCTTCATTGGCATGTGGTTCTCCACTGTCACGGTGCCCAAAATGCTCATGGCCTTGTTGTCCCCGGGTGGCAAGGCTATCTCCTTCTATAGCTGCATGGCCCAGCTCTATTGCTTCCACTTCCTGGGAGGCAAAGAGTGCTTCCTCTACACGGTCATGTCCTACGATCGCTACCTGGCCATCACTTACCCACTCAGGTATGCCAGCATGATGAGTGGGAGAACCTGTGCCCTCCTGGCCACCAGCACTTGGCTCAGTGGCTCTCTGCACTCTGCTGT